GAAATAATTTATTACATGGAACCTTAAAGTGGTCTGTTTTTATTTAAATTATTTGCTCTGGATTTACATTGAGCTCTCTGGATTTTATCCTCCTTAGGTTTACCCATACGGATTACCTAGTTTTTCATAAACTATATATATATATATATATATACACACACACACACACAGGGTAAGGCAAAAGTCATGCATTATAGAGATGATTTATTAAAAGTATAATTACACATGAAAATTTTATTTATCAGTTATTTGTTATATATGCCGTTCAAAATGTCTTCCTCCTCCTTATTCAAAACCCATGATTCATTAACACATCAGAGAGTTTCCTCTGTCATTTTACTGCATTCATATTTAATTCTTTCTTTAACTTCCTCAATATTTCTGGGGTGTGTCTGATAAACAACTGATTTCAAATGGCTCCACAGGAAAAAAAGACAAGGGTGTGATGTTTGGTGACCGCGGTGGCCACTCAACAAGATCTCTTTGACCCATCCATTAACCCCTTTGGAGTGTGACTTTTGCCTATATATGGGGGGGAGGAGGGTTGCAAAAGTAGGTATACAGCAACTTTGCTCAACCCTCAGAATTCACCTGTGCCTTATAGTGCAACTATGCTGAGTTAGTTATTTTCTGGGAGAGAGTACCTAATCTGGCATGATAGATCATTTGAACAAGGCCAGTTCACTCAAACTCTGTCATGATGACATGCAATTTCATGCTAGCACAATCATCGACAGCTTCTGAACTGTTCTGTCTACTCAATTTCACTCACAAGATGTGGTAAGGTTTTTCACTCACACTTTCAAGGGTCCCTGCACCCTGGGATCACCTCTCCAGGTCGATATTATCAAGAAGTCACCAACCTAACAAATTAAGCATGGTGAGATTTGAATTCAGGTCTTATAGTCAGCAAGTGAACATTCTTACCACTCAGCCATAGTGTACAAATAATACAAAAGGAAAAATAAAAATTTCCTGTTCTGCATTGTTTATTAATTGCCACAGAACAATCTGGGAAGTTGAAATAAAAAGCATTTAAAATTAAAACAGGTAATTGACAAGGCTTCATTTAATAATAGATTTAAGATAAAAATTTCTCATTGTATCTTTTATCTTACTGAATATTTATTTCTTTAGCTTATAAATTACAAAAGCCTTTAAAAAAAAAAAAAAAAAATAGAAATAAACAAAACACTGATTAATTTAAAAAATCAAATATGCATAAAGCAATCCTGGATTGAACATTGATGACATCGTCTTCTGTTTAAACCTGGTCAGTCTTAATGGTTGGCATCCATTGAAATCAATTTGGTCATCTGTGGCTATTCCAATGAATTTGTTCACTTTGGTTCAACTGACCATTAGTTAATACTTACTTTTTTGCAATTCTATTTATATGACCAACAGCACACAATGCAGATTCACCTTGACATACATTTAACAGGTGTCACATATTGATTTTTGCACCTTGACATGCAACACTATATCATTACCTCATTAATGTTCGTCTATCCCTATTCCAGGACATAAAGCAGCACTTTTTTTCCTTTAACAATGTTATAGAAGAATTTTTCTATTTTTGTAACAATAGGACACAAATGATTTGGCAAATCCTTTAGAATATTAGTCACCAGGAGACACTAGATAGCAAAAATGATAAAAGTACTGAAATGAAAAAGTTCTTTATCTGGTAAAGTCATAAGTAATTTTCGTTTTTGGGAACCAATTGTAATGATAAATGTTGCATCTTAAGTGCTAATATGTATCACTTAAGAATAAACATGACAAACAATGACCTCCCTAACACATGACCATGTTCAAAACTTCAGTGGATTGGTAAAATAAATCTCTATTTAATAGTATTATTTTCTTTTTTCCTTCTAGACAATTACCCAGGACTACTTATCATAAATGGATCAGTCCATTCAGGATAGTAAGGAGAGTAACTGGCTCAAACGATGTAAATAGTTACAATACCTCATCTCAAAAATATAGACAAAAAAAAAAAAAAAAAAAAAAAAAAAAAAAAAAAAAAAAGAATATTTCTTGAAATATTGGCAAATTTTTTTTCTTATCATTTATTTAATAATCTAGCAAACTATCAAATGTAAGAATTATCCAAATGCACTGAATGAAGTTGGGTAAGTCTTAGAGTGAATCTTTTATATGGTTGATTTAATTCTGTACTATTCACTAGTTTTCAAAATCAGATTATGTTGCATGATAAGTGATTTCCGTTTTTTGTTTTTCAAATTTGCGGCCAAGTTCTTACAACATTCTTTTCTGGACAGATTTTCTATTGGGATATTCAAAAACAACAATGATAAAAACAAAAGTGAAAGTGTAAGGAAACTGAAGGCGATTGGCTAAGCTGTGTGCTTAGACATGCTTCCTCTCTAAAAAAATTATAACCAACATTCACATTTAAGTCTCCCTCAACACATAACTATCAATAAGAACATTACTTTAGCCTGATGATGTCTTTTTAGAGGATGAAACTCAGTACACAGAATTTTTTCACTTTTTCATTCAATATATATATATATATATATATATATATATATATATATATATATATATATATATATATATATATATAATTGATTGATTCTATGATTATTTCTTTATATATAAAATATATGCTGCCTAATATTATGTTTATAAAAAACAATTAATCCCGTTAGTATAAATTCCAATCCTGAAAAAAAAACCTACTAAGACATATCACTATATTAATTGAACTATATACTTAGTTCATGTCATGTTAACTGAAAAACACTTGTAAAAAACGAATTCGTGGATTTACCATATTACAAAATTCATATAAAAATTCTCACTTGAAATTTTGAACTTCAGTGTTGCGACTCGCACATTCCAAGATTGTACAACCATCAATAAATAGCACATTCTTAAAAAAAACATCTTTCGGTCTACAAACAATTATTTCGTCTTTAAGTTTTAACTTTAAAGGAAAAAAATTACAGCCTGATGATGGAGACATGGATCTTCGAAAGTACTTGCTCAACTTAAAAAAATATACACTAGAAACATCTGACAACAGTTTTATAAATGAGGATCACAAAAAAGTAAAAACAACAATGACAACAACAATTTATCCTGTTGCTGCACACTTCAACCAACTGTTTCATAGTATTGATGACATCAGACAGGTGTGTCTTCATTTAACAGATGCAGATCAGAATTAAAATATATTTTCAAAATAAAATGATACATTGAGAGATTAAACAGTGATTTGGATTTACTCAGAAGATATAATTTCCACAGGGTGCCCTCAAAACAACAACATTCCTTGGAAGACTGAGTCCCACTTTTGTTTATTCCTTACCTTGTGAAGTACACAGGTATGTCTGAAAATTCCAACTTTAAAATTTTTCTTTGTGCTTCAAAAGGCTAATATATAATAAATATCATCAATCTTATTACCAATATTGTTATTACTTTGTTGTTTTTTTAAATTTTATTAACCCGCCTATTAATTCCTGTCCACAATACAGGAAAAATTTGTTGACAACACCAATATACTACACCATAAAAATAAATAAAAACTTCAAATTCTCAAGGCTTTCTACATCAAAAGCAACCAACACTGAACAAAAGTTATTACGAGTATAGCAGCAATGTTTTGAAGCGCATTTGACCAACATTTAATGCTATTTCGCATTTCTACCAATTTCTGGTTAGCTCCCTTACATTGGGATGCGGGTTTTGAAAATCCTTGTAGGTACAATTGCTAATTTAAAATAATTATAACAGAGCGCATCATGTGGGTTTTCAAAAAAATCACCATCACAATATGTTTGTTTTTACAATACACCCATGAAGATGATCTTGAAGATCAAAAGTACTTGGGTAAGAAAAAAAAACTATGGCAACTTCCTTGAGGAATTTCAACTTAACATCAAGAAGTTGATTAGAGAACTAGAAAGGAAGATTATAAAAATAAAGACATATATCTACATTATTTAATGAAATATGTTTGAATGTATGTATGCTACCTAAATATACATGCACAAACACACACATCTCACAAGCATACCACATTAAGACCTGTTTAACAATTTTAATATGGTCTCTATAAATATGGCATTTATTAGATTTCTGAAATTTTCTCTGAAGAGGGAGGAATGAGAAGTGGTCAGTTGTTTTTTTTTTTATAGTACTGTTCACATTAATCATAGGGTTTTTTCTCCTCCCCCTTCCATTAAGTCTTGTTTAGCAATAAAAACTTTTGTATTCCCAAAAGAAAATCTTTAAAGTAATGAATAAAGATTTAAAGTGTGTATATATATATATATATATATATATATATATATGGATGTGTGTGTGTGTGTATACACACACAGGGTGTTCCATAATTGTTTGAATAAAGCAGTGGCCTCTTAGATGTGGAGAGTTCAAAAAGTGTGAGGACCTTGATGAGGAGGAACAATTGTTCCAGAAGGATGGTGCCCCTCCTCACACTGCTAATGTTACCCTAGCATGGCTCCATGAAAAGTTTGGGGAGCGTCTCATCAGCTGTAAAGCTGAAGTGGAATGGGCACCTCACTCACCGACCTGAACCTCCCAGATTTATTTTTCTAGGAGGTTCCTGAAAGACAACATTTACCAGGTCAGACCTTGCAACATTGCTGCTTTGAAGGCAGCCATCACTGAGAAGATTCAAGCAATTGCCCAGGAGGAATGTGCATGCATTATCAACAACTTTGCATTCAACACTGTCTTCATCTGAACGACAGACATTTGGAGCATGTAGTCTAGGGCTGCTCTTGAGACTTTTGGTTCATGTTTGAAACTAAATGGTTGCAGATCCTAAAATGTCATCCTTTTACCTTTCAACAAATGTAATTTCCATTTTTTTATCATTTTGTTCCTTGACATTCATTGTTTCAAAAATTGTGAAACACCATATATATATATACATATATATATATATATATATATATATATATATATATATATATATAAATATAACTTCTCACCTGTACCAGCTCCAATATCAGCAACAATCTTATCTTTAAATAAATCTTGATTTTTCAAAATGGCATCCCTAGAAAACAGAAAAAAAAGTGGGGGGAAATTATTCCAGAAGACAAATACTCCCTTGAACTTAAAAAGTTCATTAAAAATATAGTTGGAAAAAAAAAAAAAAAAAGAAAAGAAAAGAAAAAAAAGGAGAATCTACTGTGTAAATAGAAACCTCCAGAGTGAGGCTGACCACCTCAGATGGTGGGTACTGATAACTCACTTCAAAGCAGATTGTACAGCAAGATGATTTTTTATTTCAAATTTGAAGAAATCAGATCAGTTTTGATTTTAAAAACTTTCATTAATTATTACATGTATGATAAAAATTAGAAATTAATATTGATAAGAGGTGAACTTAGTATCTTAATTTGTATTAAAAACATTACAAAGACTGAATTACTTTATAGAGATTTCATAATCTGTGCATGTAAAGAGACATTGTCATATAAAAGATATTCACACTGACCCCTGACAATGAAAAGGTATTAAGAATATTTATAAAAAAAAAACACATACAATCACTTCACAACATCATATTATTCTAGGACAGCATTTCTCAACCAGTGTACACTAATAATGCACCCTGAAAAATAACCAGGTGTGTACAAAGTTAACAAAAGAGTAATTTATGAATTATATTTATAAAAATGTTCTTAAATTATTTAGATCCTTGATTGATCATTTTTTTTTTTTTACAGCTTATCAACCATTTGCAGATTATTTAAAGCCAGAAAATTTTTAATTGTAAAAATTTATTTGAGATAATAATGATTTACTGATACAGGTACTATTAATTAACCCATAGCTAGGGGGAGAAGTGGTGGATTCATACCTTTACCAAGGCTATTTGTGTTTAAGTGAATATAACGAACCTGACTGAAATTGGAACTTGGCTCTCCGAGTTCCAATTCTGAGCCAATATCCATTACACCATCCACACATCCAAGCTTACAGCACCTGATATTCCCAAGTGGTAACCCATCTAAGTACTGACCAGGTTTGATGTTGCTTAACTTTGGTGATCATATGAGAACTGGTGTTTCAACATGATATGGGCATAAGCATTTATATCTTTGAATAAAAGATCTTGTTTACAAAAAAAATATCATTGCTACAACAAAAATAATTATAACTGAACACGTTCATTGCTACAACAAAAATAATTATAACTGAACACGTTCATTGCTACAACAAAAATAATTATAACTGAACAAGTTCATTGCTACAACAAAAATAATTATAACTGATCACGTTCATTGCTACAACAAAAATAATTATAACTGAACACATTCATTGTGTTTACAAAAATCCTCATCCCAACAATTACAGTTACAATAATTTTGTCTTTGCAATTCACCCCCGAGGATGACCTCAGAGGAGATTGAAAGTAATTGGGTCAACAAAACTATGGAGTCTTTGGTTTTATATATATATATATATATATAAGAAGACTATTTTCTCATTGTGTGCACAAACAGCTTACTGAAATAAACCATTTGAAATATCCATATTTTAAATGATATTAACATCATTTGATCTATGCCAATTTCATTATGAATGCCAGGTGATTCTAGTCAACCCCACTGACAAAAGTTATGATATAAAATTATATTATCTCTTTGAATTTCTGGGATGAGGATTCATTATTATTTACATGTGGATTATTGTCTCCATCTTTGTATGTTGATCTGGGTAACCTACCTACCCGGATTGACATACACCTGATGATGGTTGGAGGGCACAAGGGCTGAAATGTGATAACAACAGTAAAGATGAAGGCAAAATTCCACATATAAATAAAAATTATATATTACTCAACTAAAAATGGCATTTTTATAGCAAGTCAAAATTTGGACTGTTATTCCACAGGCAGTAAAATGACATTTTCTGTTGAAGTCGAAAGCTTATTAAATAAATGCATTTGGCTTAGAAAAGATCAAATGTATCATCATAACTTATGAAATAGCAAAAGAATTAAACTAAATAAGACTTTATATTTTATTAAAATTTAAATACAAAATTGAAAAAGAAAGCAGAAGTACAAAATTTGCTGACTTCTAAGAAAAAGAAGCTAATAATAACTGGTTTTAAAATTGATAGACACTGGCTATGGCTTAAAACCATTTCAGCACTTGAACATTTATTTTCTAAGAGCAAATAATTAAAAACAAAAAAATCTTACTCCTCAGCAGTAGTGGTAGGTTTTTATAAGAAAGGAAGTAGTGGTGGGCTTTTTTTTTTTTTAATAAAGAAAGTACAGACAGAAACAAAAAGTAAACAAAACTTAAGAGCTACTTTTTAAACTGGTGGATGAAATCCAAATGAAAAATGAAGGTCGAAGGACTTAAGAGATAAATGCAAATATCTAAATGGGAAAAACAATCCTATTTGAATGCAACAAATCACTTTGATTTAATTATATTTCTTTTAAGTTTTCATTAAAAAAAATAAACAAAAGGGAAAGCAGTGACTAATTAGTGATGTAAGACAAGGTATGGAGACTGTAGTTTAAAGATTGAATGGGTCAAAATAAATTTTCTGAAACATTTTAATGTTTTCTTTTTTTGGTTTTAATTCTACTAAGAAATAAAATTATAACTAAGTTAAAAAAAAATAAAAAAAAATAAATAAATTAAACATTTTCATTTTTAGACAGTTTCAACTTTTTTTGAGATTGTTTCCAGAATGGTGAAAAATATTAGCCTGAATCTCTGAACTGAATACTTCAGTCTCTAACAGTTATATTTTAAAAGGAAAGGTCAAAAGCTAAAAACTTATTTTTATTACAAATGAGAACAAACTCAATTAAAAAAAAAAAAATTTTCAAAGAAAAGCAGAAATCATACTGAGGGTATAATAATTTTGGTTCCAAAATTAAAAAGAAAAGCTAAGTTACTTACCGGTAAGTCATTGTCCGTACTGTATCCATTAGCATCTCTTCATGAACTTCTATACTGGCATAACCGCTGTAATTAAACAGTAATTTTGTTATTCTTTTCAATTGATACCTGATGTTTTGATTCACACTTGTCAAATTTTCTTTCATAGATACTTTAAGCTATCCTAACTGATATTTTTATAGACATTTATATTAAAAACAAACAATAATGTTCTCTACAAAAATATGTTAATCTCATACTATAGATGGTTTTTCATTTACAAGTCATAATTTATTTTTATAGTTACTTTGAAATATTTTTTCTTTTGGTTCAAATTTGGATAAAAAAAAAAGCAACAAAAAAACCTTAAATGAAGCATCAGGCCAAAGATTGGTTCAAATTTGTAGGGATCAACATTGGTCTCAGAGTTTTTGGTAAGGAGAATTTTAAAGTTAATGAACCTTCAAAAAAGAAGCATTCTCTTGACAATTATACAAAGCCTTTTCAGAATTTGAGTCCAGGAACAACAAATGATTTTAACAAGACAAGCAAACTTCAAAGACACTGAATTAAATTCCATACCTATACATTAAAGTAAATGACACAAATGTTGTCTTCTCAGTGCATATAAAAATTCTTTATACTGCAGTCTATTAAGTGTACAATAGTCTTTTTCTTTTATGTGCTAATTTGCCTCAGGACATGGCCAATAATGGCTCTCCACAACTTCCTATCTTTGTTGCTCAAACTAATGTTTGAGCTATTGTCATCCCTCTGCCATTCATTCACACAAACCCGTTAAGTGACAGTTTCTCTCCAGCTTCTCTTTGCAATATGTCCTGTGAGTGTTAAATTTTCTAAGTCTTTTCCTCATTTTTATTCCAGAAAGTTCAACTGTGCATCTGTGATTGTAAGTTTCTCTGTAGTTCCTGTTTTTCTGGAGACTTCCTGGTCACTCAAATATTCTACCCATGATATTCCAAGCATTCACTTATGGAATCACATCTATTACTTCAAGCCCCTTCCTTATATATGAGAAAATTGTCTAGCATTCACTGCTATACAGGAGATTAGATATTACGTACCAGTTCAGCACTTTTCTTTGTTTCTTATGTTATTTTCTTGTCTTAAAACTTCAGTTTCTTATAAACATCTGTGGCTATTCCTATGCACCTTTACATTTCTGTTTTTGATATACCCAATATATAGCTCATACCTTTGGTTGTTTCTGTTTCTACCTATCATATATTTGGTCTTCTTACACTTAATAGTTACTCCTTTCTTCTTGCTTTCCATTACTACCTTGTATAATAATTCTTGTTTCTTTTTTGAGTTTGCCATTAGTACAGTGTCATTTGTGTTTCTTATATTATTAAGATCATATGAGAACTTGAGGTCCTACCAGGATTTATCAGTGGACATAACAGCCACCGATAATAAATCCTGGTAGGACTTCTAGTTCTCTTGTTGTACTATTCTATCTTCTATGTGCTGTGTTCCATCATGGTTCTCCACAATTTCCTATCTTTTGTAGCTCTTAGCATTGTTTTTATTTTTACTATCTCTCCTAATCCCTGTTTTGCCAATCATGTACCCCAGTTTAGATTATGCAACGCTTTCCTTCAATATGCCCTGTGAGTGCCAAATTTTGTAAGCCCTCCTCCCTCACAATGAGTCCAACAAATTTTAATTGACTTTTTTCTGATTCTGTCATTTTTATTTCATTTTTTCTTAAAACTGTCATTGCTCACATGTTAAGTCCATTATATTCTTAACATCCTTCTGTAGAACCACATTTCTGCATAAAGGAGGACTGATATTACATAACAGTCTAGCATGATTTCCTTTGTTTTTAATGAAAATTTTCCTGTTTCTTAATACTTTGCTTAACTTTTAGAAGACATCTATTCCAATGCCCCTTTAAATTTTGGTGTCACATTTTCTATCCCCTAGATATTTAAATTTTTGTTCTCACTCGAGTTTGGTGTCTCCAATTAGTTGTTCACATGTTGGGCTGTTCCTAGTTACACTCATCTTTTTAAAGTTAGAAGCATTGCAAGAATTGCCCAAATGTAACATAGAAATAAAAAATGAACAAATGCAATTGGTCTAAATAACAAAGTGCAATAAAAGGAACTATGCTTGTACTAACACTGTTTATGAACTGGCAAAATATATATTCACTCACTTAGAACCTACTTTTGATTGAACATTTTCCATCATCTAAATTTCTGTTCTTATAAAGAGGTTTATACTTTCTAGATAAGCAAACATTTATGAAATATTCATTGCTTATGACTTACTGTTATTGTAATTAAAAAAAAAAGAAAAAAAAAGAAATACACTGGAACTTTCTCTATAAAACAAACATTTTTTTAATCATTTCTGCTCTCAGGAAGGTGATAAAGCCACTAAGACAAGGATAGCTTGGTATGGTTTAATTTTATTTTATGGCATATCAATGTGAATGACTTATTTAATGCCGACAAGATTTTTAGGATAGGTTTATATGAATAGAATATGTATTTCAAAAATTTGTTGCTGGTATTTTTAATATAAAAATCTATTTTTATACTTTTATAGTGTTTTGACCCCAGTTTGGGGGTTAACTATTTGCCCATAGCTAGGAGCCTTATAGGTGCTGCCTCCCTGTGTCTGGGTGGACCTGGGAACAACAGCAATTAAGAGGTGGTTCTATGCTCCTCAAAACCTCCCAATCAGAGGTCTTGCTGCTGGATATAGTTTATCATCATACCTAGGATGACTCTTGCAGGGGTGGAGGGTTGTAACCCTCTGTAGAGGTGCAGTCAGCATATTTTACAGCCTGAGCTGACAGGGAAGATTAAGACAAAGAGTTACTGAGACAATGAAGGAAACCGAGAAAACATTACTGAGGAGAAAGGAAAATAAAAGATTCATGGAGACAGAAGATGATTGATGTTGTATCTAAAGACAGGAAAGCAAGAAGCTAGAAAAAACTATTAGAATAGTTACATTTTTTTTTTGGGGGGGGGGTCAATCATTTCACCCCAAGCAAGGTGATGAAGCCACTAAGACACAAGAGGTTACTGAAATTTAAGGAGAGGGGACAATAAATAAACAGGATTTAAGGAGACATGATGATTGACATTGCATTTGAATTTTTGAAGATTAAAGTTGACTGGTAAGTAAAAAGCATATAGAGAGTTCTATAAGTAAGAAGTGCAAAAGAAGAAACTAAAGAAATGTTTTGAATATATGGTTCTTGGCCAATAACCAAAGTTAAGTAGTATCAAGGCTGGTCTGTATTTAGATAGATGACTACTTTTTAATACCAGGTGATGTAAGCTTAAATCAAGTAAGTGGAACTTGCCAGCTTGGGTGTGCAGTTGATCAAAGAGAAAGAAACTAATTTAAAACCACAACTGCCTTGGGGTGAAAATTGAAGGTAGATGAATCTCCTAAGATATTAAAGACAGTTTGCCTAAAAATAAAAGAAAAACCTTTAAAAAAGAACCATGACTATAAATTGCAGGTTGGTATCTGGTACAAATCCCCCCCTCCCCAACTATGGAGGGGCTAAGCCCTTTTAAGCCTGCTTGTGTATAAATATTTCCAACCTTAGTATTGGGATATGACATTCTCTTCCAAGTTGCTCCCAGACAGCACAGAAGAGAAGGTTAACATGAAAATGTCAAATCAAAGATCTCCAGACCAGAGGGGACTACTTCCAGACCCTGACCATGTGATCAATAGAACTAATCAGCAGGCTTGGACTGATGTGACAGCAAGGATTAGATAAATGCAGTCACTAGAGGCTAGACTCTATAGCAGTTTTTCATAAATGGTGTGGCATGCTTCATAGGTACGGTGGAAGAGGATAGCAGGTGAGGCAAAACGACTGAAAGACAATCAAAGTTTTAGAAACTTTTTCAAAAAATTCACATGCCAAAAACAAATATGATTTCAAAATTTAAAATATGGATTACTTGTAATTGCATGCATGAGTCCCAGTATAAATAGTTATAATTATTGATCGATTTTATCATTTTGATATTTTTGCATTATATTAAGTATTAAGAATATAGTAACTATGGTCTGCAAATTGGAGGAGAGAGTTATCAATGATAATGTTCTGACTTCAAATCTGCAGTTATCGCCCTTTAATCCTCTCTGTTTTTTATTTTTAAATGTACTTTTTACCACATAAAAGTTGTTGAGGTGCAAGCAAATTTTCATCCTGAAAATGTGGCCCAGGGAAAACAAAACTTTGGGAACCACTGGTCTATAGAGAGAACTATCTCATGTAAGTAAGCAATATACAGAAGGAAAAGAAACATGTACAATCATAGAAATTTTTGCAATAATGTTGGCCCCCATTAAAAGTATATATTTTTTCCAGCAGCCATATTAGTTCATCAAATACTTACTTGAAATATAACTGATCTGTTTCTTCTTCAGATTCCCCATCTCTTTGGCATAAACTGAAATGCAAATAAAAACAAGCTTAGAATTGACACAAGACAAATATAGCTGCCATTTTTTTTTCATATGGTAACTTACATGTGCATAGAAATTGAAATCAGAAGGCAGAGTTCAAATCCTGACCTAGTCTGTTCTACTCACTTTAACATGAAAGAAAAAAAGGGAAAAAATAATGGCTCAAAATTCATTGTCTGTGTTCTTTATTCTATGATTACATTTGTGTGTGTGTGTGTGTGTGTGTGTGTGTGTGTGTGTGTGTGTGTGTATATATACACACACACATTATCTTACCTAAAGCAGTTTATGTACAAATAAACAATCTATTAATGGCTGTTGCTTTATATTTTAATATTGACAACTTTACTTACAATAATCTGTTTGCTTGTAGAGCTAAATAATGATTTTATTGATGGAATCATATGTGGGAGAAGTGAACTAAAACATTGGTTATAAATTAACATTGAGAGACATGATGAAAATAAAGGGATGCTTAAATTTAAATTTCTGGCACCCCAATTTGGCTTACTACTACTTTTGTTTTTAATTGCTGTTGATTTTAAATATCCTATATTATAATAATAGTAGTTTTGTCAAGAAAGATAATATACTGTATGATCCTGAACATAAATTTACCATGGAAGATTCAGAAATTAGTGCACTTTCTATACACTGTCTTAATAATTTATATTTTCTTATAATTAAAACTGCATTCTCTACAACACAGTTATATATAACGTTAAAAAAAAAAAAACTGATACATGTGTGTCACATGAACCTACAAAGAGAAAAAAAAAAATCTGGCCATCTTGAATTATATATGAAGGTGCTGAAAACTTTTCAGCTTGCATGAAAAAAAAAAAAAAAAAACTCCAAAAACTTAAATTATGAAGTATGGTCATATTTGGGTTTAGTTTTTCGTGTTTAACAGTACATTAGTCTCTGTAGATCCTTTTAGTGTTGAATCCTTTATTTAGTAGACAGGATTTGTAAGAAAGATATTTAGGGAAAAGGGTTGAGCTAAGGATTTTTCAGCAGCACCTCATATATAGAGTCTGATCAGTACAGATTATTATGAAATAACTAGTAATTATATTCCTATTAATAGTTGCCTGTGGTAGAAGTAACAATACATGTAGATTTATTTAGATATTGAAATATTTTTTATAGGAAAGTTTGGAGTTCAAAGTAGATTACAGAAGGCATAAGTAGTACACGATTAAGACCTTTTATATTTTATAATTTACATTATATATGGAAGACTGTCATTTTTCAACATATAAGGGTCTGCTGTTCAATTCTTAGGAGCAAATATCCAGATTACATGCACATGATTGGATTATATTGGTGATGGCTTGTGCCGGACCAACCACACTTTTTGGAAGACAGAACTAGTCCACAGCATGCCACAAGGTCCCCAAATGACCCTCTGCATGTTTTGAATTCAGAGTTGTCCTTCTCATAGACCAGTTGCCATCCAAGATCATAGGATCCAGTCTGTCCTGTTATTTACCCATATGCTAGAGGAAGAAGAGATGAATTCCTACCTTTTCCAAAGGTATCAGTACATAAGTGAATGTAATGAACCCGACTGGAATTTGAACACAGCTCTCAGATTTTTACAATCTGAGACACTATACATTACATCATGTGTGCGTGTGTGTGTGTGCGTAATATAGTAAACCAAGGAAATAATTTTGAGAGATGGAAAAAAAATAATAATATTGATAAGACTAATAATATTTTTTGCATATTAGTTGGCCTTTTGACCAAATAGAAGCACAAGAAAAAAAATTGTTAAAAATCAGAATTTCTGTACACCTTGTGCTCTTTCTCAACAAGAAATAAAAAAGGAAGTTGGGCTTTTTTTTTTTCGGAGGGTGGAAAAATGATGCTGAAGATCAAGTAACATTGTCAGACAATTATTATTTACATTCAGACTAATGTTCCCATTTTTATTGTTCTTACAACACAGATTAGATTGTAGGGGAGGTTGTTCTACTGTCACCATTTAGGGATATCTTGTTCTGCTCATATTTAGTACTTTTCAGTTATTGGTCATCCTGTTTCCACTGAGTCTAAGTCTGTATTACCCAGCCCAGGGCTTGAACACTGGAGAACAATCTAACCTTGTAAATTAAATAAAGGATTATTTGAAATTCCCTGAAAGCCACCTGAAAAAGGCCAGAGGACACAATGGCCAAAACGTTGTGATAACAACAACAAAAACAAGGACATTAGTCAGAATGTGACTAATGATAACTCCTAATTCCAGAAATTCATACAGACAATTATTTTACCAACATTTTTTATAATTCAAACTTAAGTTATACTACTTTAGTAATAAAGCAATCAACACAATTTCTTTTAAAGATAAATTTTGTAAGAAATTAACTTTTTGAATCGCAGCAAAAGAAAGCTTACAGCCATATAACGTTGAAACATTGGTTTTTGTATGATCATCAAAGCTAAGCAACATTGAACCTGGTAAGTACCAAGATGGGTGACCATTTGGGAATATCAGATATTGTAAGCGGGAATGTGTGGAAGCTTTAATGGTTAATGGCTCAGGGTTGGAAATTGGAGAGCAGACTTCCAATTCCAGTAAGGTTATATTCACTTATGTGCAAATACTCCCAGCTATGGATTAATTAGTAGAACTTGTATCAGTAAATCATTATCTCCAAAAACTTCTTAGAATCTAAAAATATTTTCTGGCTTTGAACAACCTGTAATGGGTTGATAAAGCATAAAAAACAAATCAATCAAATCTCAGCATTAGAGTTTTCAAAACAGAATTTAAACCCTTTTTAGTTTTAAGATAACAAGTAGAGAGTAAAAAAATAAACAAATATGAAAGTGAAAAACTTGCAATGAACTTTCCTGCCAGGTTAATGTCTTCTTTGCTTTCAGTTTAAAAATATGTTTAATGTGGATCAGATATAATTATAAGAAGAAAAAAAAGGAAAAGAAAAAATAATAACAAAAGGTTAATAATGATGACCTCAGGAGCCATTTTAACTGTCAAAAAGATTTATTAATTAAACTAACAAATACTAATATTAATACTAATATTTAGGTGCAATTTTCACAAATTTTTATGTTTTAGTTACCACTGGAGAAGAAATTATAAACTTTAAAAACCTTTTCTTGTTTTTAATAACTTAGTAACTTGTAATTGTACCTTTTTAAATTTATTAATGATATTTATTTATTTACAAAGACCAGCACTATACTTATTGGTAAGTTTAGTTATTTAATCATTCTACATTTAGTTCATAAACAGTTAAACTGTCAATTACTACTAGTAATAGAAGTACAAATATTGCAATAATTTGTGGTGATACTATTTGGACAGGAGTGATCATTTTTTTTTTTAACTCCCAACAGAAGACAAGACGGTAATCAATTTCCTTTTTAAGTCCAACATGACATAATCAACATAACTGCTGATGCAATTTTATTACTTGTCTAATATTAGAAATGGTAAGACAGAGTAACAGACAGTAGTACCAGTAGTTTACTGTAATAACAAAAAAAGGTAAACCAATGTCTCTTGAGTCGAACAATTAAGACTAACAAACAATTATTACAATTTTTAAAATTAAAATTGGATGAAAATTTGTAGTGTAAAAAAATATATCAAAACAAAAGTTTTTTTTTCCTTTTTCACTATTATTCACTTTCGGCTACAAACTTTCAAAAAAGAAAAGAAAAAAAAAAAAAGAGCACATGAAATTTAAAAATAAATCTATGCTTATATTGTGTTTTTAATTTTATTTTTAAATCCGAGGAAACCTTTTTTTTTTCTCGTTTCTGTGCATTTCAATGAATTCATTCACCATAAAAGCATTCATTCATTCACTCATAGTTTTAGAGACTGAGGCTGAACATTTTTTTAGTACACAAGATTTTTCTTTTTGCCTTTGGGATCATTTATTAGTATTAAATTTGGAATAATCAGTACACATTGGTAGTTATTTAGAATTTAGTTAGGTTTTTTTCCGAGAGCTGTAGTTGTACTACTTACTAGTTACAACTGGTAGTACGGTAGTGGCAACAGTTAATTATACATTTTTTAAATAAATAATTTCACAACTACTAGGTTATAACTACTAAAATAGACAAGCAAATTTAGAATTTTAAAGATATTTAATTAAAAACGAAGTCAAGTGTGGTAAAAGGCTACTTTTTACTGAACACGGCTAATTGGATGACGACAATGTGTGTGGTGATTTTATGTGCAATTTTAACAGTTCTTGCCGGTTTGGTTTTTTAAAGCAGAAAAAGGAAAAGCAACGAATAGGATTCCTTTGACGAGAAAATATCCAAGGACAATGATAATTATTAGTTTTAAAAGTATCTTCGACACACTTCTCTCCTTAACGATTGCCGGTACGATTGATACTTGTAAAATCTTGGCATATATTTTGCGAAAGACAAAAGTAAAACTGAGAAAACAGGTTCCCCAACACCCCCCGGGATAGGAGCTGACACTCTGTATCGGCGGACAAAAGAATAGCCTATTGCCTCCTGTTTAGAAGAAGAAAAAGCCAAAGATATTTTGGAAGAAAGAAAGAAAGAAAAGTGAAATAAAGGCTACCGCCAAAAAATTGCACCCCCTTTAGAAAAAAAAGAAAAGACATTTGTCATTTTTTTTAATTTAACCTATGAAGTGTAAAGTTAAGATCCGCTATTATTCGATGAATAATATTAATAATAATAATAATAATGAATGCATTTATTTTAATTTAAACAATTATGTTGTGACTTATTCAATTCAATAATAATCGGTATTGCATAAAAAAAGTAAAGATAAAGGACTAAAAAGGAGTCTTATTTTCTTGCTTGACACTCATTAGCAAAATGAAGCTGGTGTGATTTTTATTAATTATTAACTTAGTTAATTATAAAAATAAGTCAATTAGTTGATTATAAATAATCATTTAAATAAACCTCACATCGACTTTTAACTACCGGCAAATGAAAGAATATTGCTTTTTCGTTAGATCTGCATTATTATTGTGAGGATAACCAACATATTTTTCTATTTGATAGCCTTTTAGTTTTATTTAATTAACTTAACTGGATTTGTCGTTTTGACGATGTATTGTACAATGGGACAATTTAAAAAAAATAATTTTGAAATAATACACAATAATAGCGCAAAGTTTGATACGGGTCTGGTTGATGAATGTGACAATTCTGTAACCGAATACATAATCTAAAAATACAATATTTCTTTACATCTCAATCGAGTAGCATTCACTCCGAGTCTGAAGAAAATGCAGAGTAGAGAGATACTCCCTTATTCGGAAATCTTTATGGCCATATATTTGTCCGAAACTCGGCGATTTAAGGATTCCATAAATCTTATAACATTTCATAATAATTAAATGGTATTTTCTGGATCGCAAACAAGTATTTTTTTTTAAATTCATAATAAATAATTTTAAAAAAATCATGAGTCCGAGTAGTAGGGTAGCCTAAGCTACAATGAACTGACGACAAGAATGGGGTTGAATAAAAAAAGCTTCAAATAATCAAAGATCTTTTGCACTCGTGTAAATTTAACTCTGATTTATTTTATACAGTAATAAAATAAAAATTCTTAACAGTTAACTCTATCAAAATTTCAAGATAATCACAATATGAAGCAAGGGAAAAAATCGGAGAAACGTTATCCAAAAAATTGCCTTCTAATAATTTGCAATCTGACGAAAGAATTTTAATGATACGATGAAGGTTATTCAAAATTTATGATACTTTGCTAAAATACTTTGAAAACTAACAAAATACATTACTTTGATGATATATTTTTTTTGTCAAATGTAGATTTAAAAAATAGCAAAGGACCTTAAAAGACAAATTGATGCCTAATTTGTTGATTCGTTTGAGAAAGTTACAAATACACAGGGTTATTTTAAAAGTGAACATTAAAAATAGTCACATATTTGCATTAATAATGATGTTTTAGTTAAAAATAAAGTGATTTTACGAGACAAGAAAATTAAGGTAATTATTTCTTCTCGGTCTGTTTGTTGAATTCTATCCCACAGTAGTAAACTACTTGTATTTATTTAATACTGTAGTGACCAAGTACACGATACTTACATACCTACGTTCTTGACTAACTACTTATCATCGTATCACCTCAACCCGTTCTTTCCTTCGCTTGAAGGGAAAAAAAATCTTTAAAAATCTTAATTAAACCACGTACACACTTACTTATTCCACGAATGTAAATTTATTTAATTCATAAGCAAACTAAACACATTTTTAAAAGAAGAAAGAAATAGAAAACTTCAAAATAATATTTATCTTTTAATTTTCTTTTGAAGCTATAAAAAAAAAGAAAAAAAATCGAGATAAAGAAATAAAGACAATAATACAAGAAAAATGAGAGAGAAAAAGAGGGAGAGAAAGATGAGGATGCAATTATTTTAGCATTCCCATTTTTTTTTTCTAAAATATATATTATATATATTATGATCAAGAGCTTAGTCATGAAATATAGCAAAATCAAGGCTAAAATCATCTGTACACATAAAAAGTAATACATTATTAGACCGGGCCGGCTTAACTGATTTACGCTCTTTATCTGTTCTCATAGATTCTTCTTGCATTTTCTCCTCCTCCTTTCTTCCATAAAAAGCGAACACAATCTGACAACTTTTCAATTCTTACCGTTTCCGGGGATTATCCATGCTTTCGTCAAGTTATATCTCCCAACGACAAATAAAATAACAGACGGATTTCCCCTGGAGAAATACTTTTTCTCACTGATCTACGACATAAACGCAATTAAAAATACTCGGTAACTTCCCCCACGTGTTGTACCCCACACCGTGAAAGATAGACCGGTGCTAACGGTGAGCGGTGGCGATATTTAAAAATGGCCAGAACCAGAGGAAACTGATTCTGGTTATCATTCTTTGATACCATATTTCTGTTTCTTCCACGGACGGCACAGTATAGTAGTGATTTGGTATATAGCAAAATTAAAAGTTCCCTTGATTTCATGTGGAAATTACGGAAACTTATTTTTTTAATCAGTTGTAAAAGCGATTTTCTCTTTAATTTTTGTTTAAAATGAGTCTTCTTCTATGTGCCGTGTCGCTTCAGAACGTTGGCAATTTATTGTTCCCCAAACGGGGCCAAAATGTTCTGTCTTTTCCTTTGTAGCTCTTAATAAATTTTGTCCTTTTGTTATCTCTCCTAAACTTTGTTCTGCAATCCATTTATTCAAGCTCGCTAGGTAGGCTATGCTTTGTTTTCCTTTGCCCCCCATCTTATCTTCAATCTGTCCTGTGAGTTATAGATTTTCCAAGTCTTCTTTCCTTTGCCCCTGTTACCTTCAATCTGCCCCGTGAGTAACAGATTTTCCAAGTCTTCTTTTCCTTATTACGGGTCCTATAAATTTCAGCTGATGTATGTGTTGTTTTTATTTCAACTTTTAAAAAAATTCACCCTTGGCCACATGTTCGGTTCCTTCTGTAGAACCACATTTCTGTTGCTTCACTTCTCTTCATCTGTGAGGTGATTGTCCAGCATTCACTGCCATATAAGGAGGACTGATATTACATAACAGTCCAGTTCTCTTTTCTTTGGTTCTATCGATTTTTTTTGTTTCTTAATAATACTTTGCTTAGCTTTTGGAAGGCATCTTTCGCTATCACAATGCACCTTCGGATTTCAGTGTCCCACTTCCCGTTCTCTGTTAAAACACTTCCCAGATATTTAAATTGTTATACTTGTTTAATTTCAGTATCTCTAATTTGTAATTTGCATATTAGGCTGTTCCATTTGATAACAGCAATGCATTCTGTCTTCTTGCAATTGATGTTTAGTTCTTTCTTTTAGCTTTCCTTCACTATTTTGTGTAGGAGTTCTTGCAGTTTTCTTTCTGCCTCTGTTATCAACACTGTATAATCTGCATATCTTATGTTGACGAGATTGTGGCCGCCAATAATGAATCCTGGTATGGTTTCTAATTCTCTTAGAATCACTTCTCTGTATAAGTTGAATAAATCCTTTTTGTTTTTGTATATTTATTGAATTCATTTTCTATCCGTATGCAGGCGGTTTGCTGTCAGTATGGGTTCTGAATTATTTTAATATCCTCCTCAAATATGTCAAGGTGTTACCTAGCAGTTCCAAAGGTTTTGTGACGTACTTTATTAAACGCTTTTGCATAATCTATAAAACACAGATATAGGATCCAGATCCTATATTGTTCTCAAAACTTCAAAAATTAAACAAAACATAGGCTTCAAATTAAATTACGCAACTAACGTAATTTGATTGATTCAAAAATATCACATGGCATTTCGTCGACTACGTCCGCACGTTTGATTTAATTTGACCTGATCAAAGGTATATTTGCGTCAAACTTTTAAAACATTTTTCTGGAGCCTATCACGTGACTTATATTGCTTATATAAACAACAAACAATTAAGAAACAGAAGGTGGGAAAAATAACCCCAAAAAGCTACACGCTCATCATAAAATAACTTTCAACTGAATTCCAGACTATAAGTTAAAGATCCTTTTTAACATAACCAAAGTCGATTTCCTTCATTCAATGCAAACTAAACTCACATCAGCAAACAACGAAGCAACAGACACTCAAACGTCAAAAACAACGTAAGCCACAATCACACACGCTTTTCCCACAAACTTTGAACTGTTTATTTTGAATACAAACAATATTACATTGAACAGAATTTTTCCAAATTCACAAAAATTACCCTACAACTCGCAGTCTATCAAACTGGGACATTAGCTCGCACAAAAATCTAAAAAGACAAGTTTATTTCACTATTTTAAACAACACTCATAACTATTGTTTTATACATTTGTTATATAAAAATCTATTTATTTGTACAATTTCTCTTGTCTGAATTTTCTTGTTTCTTCTTCTTGTTATTTTTCTTATCGCATTGTGTCTAATATAAATTAGTGAGGGCAATTAACCCACACACACACACACACACACACACACACACACACACACACACACACACACACACACACACACACGTGCCTATTATTTTATATTTGTATTGATTTTTCTGATATAATTCTAAGCATAAATATCGCATTCATTCTTGCAGTGTCTTTAAAGAACCCGCATTGTCCTTGTCCGGTCTGAATCTGCCGCGCGCTCTCTTTATCAGAATTCGGATAATGAGTTTTGTTATATGACTTATTAGGCCGATTGTCCGATGGAGTTTACATTTATTAGGACTAACCAAAAATCAAAATGATGTCTGCTTAGTCTTAATCATTTTTAATATATTTTTAAAATATACCAATGAATTGGTGATTTAACGATTAGTATATTTAAAAATATATTAAAATATTATTAGGACTAGCTAGAGATCATTCTAATTTTTGATTAGTCCTAATCATAATATATTCTAACCTCTAATTCAAACAAAACTTAAGAAACCTAAATTAATCCAGTAACACAATTGACAAATACATCATAAAAGCTGCTTGGAAATATTACCACTAAAATACGCTAAAATATTTGCTTAAAATAAATATTCAAATTACGTGGTGCTACTTAAGGATGTGATGTGATCTGTGTGCATGAATCTTCTTAAATATGTAATCTACCTGAAAGAAAATTGTCTACATGCGCAACATTACTTAATCAGCACCTAAGTAGCATGAAGAGGATGAAGACTTTCGGTGGATTTCTATATAAACCAAAGAAAATTATGGGATCCGATGTCCAAAATTTATAATTGCATTTCTGAATTATGTTCAAACTGTTTACAGGCAGCAGGACTAGCTTAATATGCTGGCAACTCGGGCAATCGCCTGGGGCGCCATCATACCACCATATCATGTGTTTGGGATCATACTTGCCGTCGTCCATTACTCAAGACTGATTAAATTCTTTGGCTATTTTGTCATAATAGAAAATGATCTTGTAAAGAAGAGGGGTATAGAAAGTGCCATAAAAAGAATTGCAGATCTAAAGGCTAAAAAGTGTTTTAGGTAGGATAACAAATATTTTCTTTAGCTTGTATTAAATTGTATATTGTAATAACTCATTATTCTACATTTTCAGTTTTTTATCCTTACGAAAATTTTAAAAAATTATACAGTTGTGAAGATCAGCTTGGTCGGGGTGCCAGCAACCCTGATAGTATTAAAATAATAATTATCTTTAGTTTTTTTTTTGTCATATGTTATTATTTGTTTAGTATATTATTATAGTATATTAAATAAAAACTACTTCATTTTCTTGTCTTATTTTGTATATATCTATTTTTAATATATATTTTAATGTAGAGTCACATACTTTAGTGATGCGTTGTTCTAGTAGATCAGACTCAGAAGGTAGATCACATAAGTAATACCCCAATCCGTTGTCCATACTTGTATTCTGTGCTTTTGGTAATTCGTTTTATGGTATTGCTTGTTAGTTTAGGTGGATTCCCCTGCCTAACATAGGGATTGTAACTCGTAGCCACCAGGCAAACTGCAGCACTTAACCAAATATTTTATCCATTAGGCCATAGTCTCGGTGTAAAATTGGAGCCTAAAACCTGATCAAAAGCTTCCATATGGTGTTTCAAGATAGGCCCGACGAGATTAGAATATCTACTAATTCATTCATTTGTTTTGTTCTCTAATGTTGCTCTCGATCAATTATACTGACTTCATTAGTGACCCCACACCTTTTCCGTCCACACATCAGCCATGACCGAATTTATAGTCTCTTCACATACGACGATTTTCAGATGATCTTCCGGTCTTGTTTTTAGAGAGGCCGGTCTCGCCTTCATATCTCTGCCACAACTGCATGGAATGCTATACACACAGTTGCTGGATATGTTCTCTGGCTAGTTAATTTCAAAAGATGAAATCTTTTCAATACTGTCCTTATGTTGTATTAACTGCAGATTCTTTGAATCCTTGTAGATGTTTATGTGAATTTACAGGTGGTTATCTTCAGATAACGTCCTTAATCCCAATATATACCAGTTTTGGCCAATTAAAATGAATGCAAAGATAATTAGCACAAAAATATATTTTGCATGTACCGATAAAATTTTATATCTAAAATAAAATATACAATATTTAAAGAGTGCATAAGCTCATATCAAAAGTTCTCGCGTTGAGCGTCTAAGTGCTTTAGCAGAGATAGAGGGAGTGAGAGAGACACACAGAGAGACATAGAGACACAGAGAGAGATCTTGTAAATATGTATGCATGCATGTATTTCGTTGATAGTAGTGTTTTGGGAAAGATTCCTTGAGCCACCGTTTGTTGAATAAAAAAATGAGAGAAAGTGTTGCTGCTTGTTCACATAAAATGACGATATTTATTTAACGTAAAATACACAATTTCTTAACTGTAACTACTATCATGAAAGAAAATGAACATAAATAGTCTTTCAGTGAGGAAGAGAGAAAGTGGAGTTGGGAGACTAGATCAAAGGGAGTCCGATGTTGCTTTGGTGAGAAAGACAGGACGACGAGGTTGACTCGTGTCTCTTAACGGTTGTCAGTTTTTTTCTTCTGCTGAGTTGAATGGATGTTTGGTTTATATGGCCTCGCGTATGTTCCAAAAGCGTGTGTTTATTTAATGGCGGGAGCTGATTTTATTGACTACTAGCAGTAGAGCCCGGCGTTGCCCGGGGATGTAACAGTAAGAGAGAGATCAAGTATCGACCATCATAAAGAC